CTTTTTGAAACAATTTTGATAAGCTTACTTTTTTTTTTTTGTCTTCCGTGAAATGACTTAGACTTAAAAAAATATTTTTCAAGAAATTTGAACGAAATAGTTGAAATAGGTTCAAAGAGTTCTCATTTTGAATTTTATTATGAATGATTTTTGGAATAGGTAAAAAGATGTAAAGGACTGATCCATGTTTTAGATTCAAAAAGAAAATTTGAAATTAAATTTCTCAACAATTGATTTAAAATGATCGTGTAACCAAGTATTTATATGTGTTAGATAATGCATGAATACAGAAAGTTGGCAAATCCGATGGAGAAGATTACTTACATTGCTTTTCAACCATAGTTCGGAATTCAGGACGATGAAGAAAAAGATCAAAACAGAAATCAGAAGTAATTTTTTAAACTTACCTACACAACTTTTACCGCTAATGCAGGTAAAATTCATGTTCTAAGTTACTTTTTCCTTATTTAATTGCTTTTAAAGTCTTATTAAAATTAAAATCGGGAATAAAAGTTGAGATTAATTAGAACGTTTAAAAAATGTGACCATTAATCAACAAATTTGTTCGGACTATTTTTGATCATTAATATACTCTTTTATGGAACAACTTCCGGAGACATTGGTACTGCACTATTTTATGATAATTTAAGAATTCATTATAAAATTTGTAGAGCAGAACGTTTATAAATTAAGGTAAAAAGACTTACGAATTTCTTGTATTTCGATTGAAGCAAATACAGAAAAGTATGCAATTATGATGAGATGTGAATAGTAATGCAGAAGTGATGAGGCATGGTTGGAAAGATGCATATTAGAAGCGGTCCTACCGGTTGAGCAGCCGAAATTTACCCGAATATTACTGTCCTGAAGTAATACTGGTAGTGGTCACGATGATGAATGGGACAGTCTGATAAGAAATGAACAACAGAAATGCCGTTACTTTCAGGAATCCAATGATAGGTGAAGTAGGAGGAGGCAGATTATTGGTGTTACTGCTATTAATGTAGGAGAGAGGCTGTGATGGTGATGATCAGAAAGGGCGCAAATCTCATTTTGGAGGTCAATGACAGTTACCCCTTCGGCCATCTTCTTAACCTCTTTAAAGATTTTAGGCAATGAAGGGTTACGAAAGGTTTAACTCTAATTCACTATCTCATCCCCACTTCTACTTCCTTTCAATCAATCAACATAACTGTGCATTTACATTAACAACAGTAACACTCTACTGTTTTATGGATCCTCCGTTTACCCTAAATATCCTGTAATAAGAACCTCTTCTCCTCCCCTCTCATCACTTAAACAGCATCTTAAAAATTCAGGGCAAATAACGGCACTAAAATTTCTCACCTATGACTTTTGCGCTTCTTTAAGGATGATTTATTTAAGTTTTTCTCTAATGAAATGAAATTTTTTTAAAACCACAAAGTGACTTTGCATCTGTCATTGCTTCTGTTTAAATTCAATCCACTCACTTCCGGAAGCGATTGCTGAGACGGTTGAATTAAATTGCCGGTGCCGGGATTCTTTAACACAGTGATACAAATGATAACAGAAACCTTCTATTATTCTTTCAATTAATGTTTCTTAAAAAAAAAAAAAAAAAAAATCGACAAGTTCAGAAAACAAAATGCCAACTCAGCAAATTGGCATGATATGCATAACTTGGACGAATACATTGAACCTAAAATCATAAGTGAATTGTTGGCAGAATTTCATAGATGACATTAGTAATTGAAAGAATTAACTGCTCTTCGACAATTCACGTTCCACCCTTAATTCAACTTCCTCTTATGTCACCACAAACACATATCATATCATTTTGATTACTCTTTATAACATTATTGTATTGCGATTGCTATTTTCTCTCATTCCTTTGCAGAGTACAAATTCCACCCTAAATTTCATCATTTTACTATATATGCTTAATTTTCATTAAATAGGTCAATCAAATTTTTGCAAGGAAAAAATTTGAAATTAGGAGATGAAATAAAGGCGTGAAGGGTTACAAGAATGCGTAGCATATTGATGCATGATATAAGAGATCTTTTTGGTGAGGAGAAGACAAACACATTTGGTGACATTTTCTTACAGTGATATATATTTAGGTCACTCTCAGTGTCCTTTTATATCTTTTTTTTCTTGCTTTGTCATTTTTGCTGATTTTTTATAAGTTTGAGAATGAAATTTTTGAGTTGTTTTAAACTTACAAAGATAAGTTTCCCTTCTGTTGCTTCTTTGCCCTATATAATGGGATCAAAGCTAAAAGGGAAATATATTGTCTACCATATCAAAAATTCTGCCTTTTTTCTGTATCTCTTAAAAACCGAGCACATAATCAAATGTGTCAAATCATCCATCTATCGTACAAATGGCATAGGCCCACCATTTCAGTGTTGCATTAACTGAAATAGCACAAAAGTGACGAATTGAGGAATTTTGTGACCAAGCAGAACACATTCTTCTGAGGAATTAAACTGACAAGTATTGTTGACCTATGAAACAAACTAAGCATATAATCTGCTTTGGGTATTTTTCTTTTTTTTGAAAGAGGGAGAGAGAGAGAGAGAGAGAGAGAGAAGAAAGAATCCAGAGAAGATTCAAAGACGAAGCAAAATTGAAAACAAGTTTAACAAGTCCACAGGATATGTTTTCGAAATGAGAAACTGCGTATTCCATTCTTCCAAAATTATAAAAGTAGTTATTTTTAAAAATCTGGCACTTGTGGATTAAAGTTAAATTTCTTGCTGATTAATTTAAAATATAAATTTTATAGTAGTTCTATGGACATGCTCGTATTTAATATATGTTATATTTATTCTTTTTTACCATTTCATTTTTTCTTCAAAAAATTAAAAACTCCAAGTTCATGCCTTAAGGACGAATTTATTTTTCTTTGAATGCGTCACATGTGTAGTATTTACAACAACTTCGAAAACTTGAAACTTAATTAGCTAATTTCTCTAAATAATAAACACTTTTAATGCTGTCGTTTTATTAATAGTTCCCTCTCACTTCACTTTGAAGTAACTTGAATGTCATTTTTTGTCATCCTTAACATACTTGAAAACCTTATTCTGATTCTTCTGTAATATAACCAAACAAATTATTCCAAACTGAATTAATTAGTGAATTAATAAGCTCACTTCATTCTTTTGCTTTTCAGATGAAATATAATTTGAATTAAAATTGTACAAAACTAATTACGGAACCAGCGGATCAATTTACCATCTAAGACATTAATCAAGGACATCATTATGATTGCCGGTCATTAACCGAACGTTACAAATGTCTCACATAGAATTCCGAATTATTCGTTCAATTAATCAACTAATTATGCAGATATGCTGACAATTTGTAATGTCAATAGACTGGTTACTATCATCTGCTTTGATTTTCTTTCTCTTAAATCCTTTTTGTGTGTTCACAAACGGGACCTGGAAGTACAAAGTAACTTCCATAAATATTTTTAATCGGTTTAAGATTGACAGCTATTTAAATGTTATTTCCATTACTAAATGCATCACAGTATAAATAAAATTACCCAGGAAGTTTGCTGGAACAGTCTGAGCGATTAATTTAATTCAAATTAGTATTCTTCTTTATTAGGTGAATCAACTTATGCAAATATGCTTCTAAAAGCATAAATGAATAATAAATCAATGCCTTGATAAAACTTACAAAAACTTTGAAAGAAAAAAAAGTTATCATAGCAAATTTAAATAGCAGTTCTATCTCTCATTAAAATTCTCCTTGTATAATAAACTAATACTTATTATCACAAACTGACATTATACTAACGACTTTGGGATTGGTCGAGAACAGCTGCGAAAGTAAATCATCCTTTGTCATTTTCCTTTTCCTGCAAGTTAAATTGTTGGTGCGGTAGACTTCGCTCTTATTATAGACAGTCTCTTTGACAGTTAAATTTTTGCTAATTACTGCACGAAAACAAAAGTTTGCTGATGACAATATATCAGTAAACTTTCCAGTGTTTGAAAAAACAGACAAAATGTGAAAGTATAATTATCGCAAAAATGAACAACAAGGCAATATTCAACTTTTCACAATTATCACAGCTATTAATGAATAAAAAATCTCGAGATAATAAGGCGAAATAATGGTAATCATTATACTGAAACAAGTTCGCATCACAAATTCAAGCTGATGAACAGCATTATCAGCAAATAGGCTCATATTAGCATATTTTACATAGCTTCTAGAGTTTTTAGTTAAACTTTAAATTGAGTCTAGTTAAACTTTCTTTTTCAGTTGAATCTCTGGATTGCTCTCCGTATATTTTACTAGAAGTAATCTCTTAAAACTAAAAAATTAAAAAAATATATATATATATAACATTTCTGAATGATAAAAGCATATTAAACAATGAAACAATGATTTTTGGCACTTAGAAGCATATCGCAACACTAAAAGTTGTAACTAAGATAAGTGTCATTAGACGAATAAATTAAACATAAGAAAGATAAGTAAATAATATCACAAAGTTAAAAGGGACTAATAATAAAAGAACATTTGTGAATCACAGGCATTCAAAAAAAAAAAAAAAAAACTTGAAATACAAAAGAATTAGGCGGAAAGTTAATGGAAAGAGAAGTAAGGTACAAAGTAAGGTAATGCCACTATTTAGATAATAATTTAACTTGTGAGCAAAACAAACTCATGCAAAATTTTATATAAGTTGTAATATTTTAAATAGAAATAAAATTAGCAAATTTCATTCCGCTTAACAGATATTGCTAGATAACGTAATATCACTTACATTAGTTTAATCTAAGAAACCAAATGATAGCACAAAGAATCAAGAAAATGAATGATCTAATGCATAGGTTATGATTAAAGTTATAACAATAATGTCAGTGTTAAATTGTAGAAATTCCAAAATGGCAAAGATTTGCATAAACATGCAAACATTGTAAACTTTAGATGAATGACAAGCAAAGATGAAGCAATGTTTGTACTGTAGACTAGAAATTTAAATCAAATCAGGTATGTATAAGTGAAAGATTCAGTGGTATGGTACCAAGTGGAGCTCCAACATGCTCTGCCAACGCTCGCTCCGCATCCATTCGTGAGCGGAAGCGCACCAGTGCTTCGCCGGAATATTGTGCCGTTCCCCATCGCAACATTTGAACACTTTCAATAGCTATCTGAAAATCAACTTTCCGATTTCTGAAACAATGGTAAAAGATAAGTCAAAATGTAATTTTGACTTCTAGTTGACTTCCACAGTACTATATCTTCTAAGTTTTTAACCATTATATCATTTTAATATACTTCAGAATAGTGTCAAAATTATTCATCAAAAAAAAAAAGAATTAAATTTGAGCATTCGAATCATTTGGAATCTTTCGCGGGAAACTACCGCGAATATATCATGGCATCTTATTTTTTACTAAACATAGTATCTTGTCTTAACATACTGGCATCCTATGTTAACAAATCAAGGCCAGATTACCTTATTCTAAGATAATAAGTACTAAGCCACCTTACTGAAAGAGTATAAGGTTACTTCTTCAAAAGAAATTGGAAGTTCTTTTGCTTTGCTTCTATCATCTTATAACTTCTTGCGCAGAATTATCATTGCACTCTCCCTTTACGTATTATTATTTTTGTCCCATATATTATTGAATTAACTCTAGCAACAATATTTTACTTTATTAACAGGGATTGACTTCTTTTCTTCAATTCATAAGGAGGTTTTTCCCATTCCATTTAAATTTTCATTCAAATTCTACAGAAACAATTGGAATAATAAACTAAAGCAGCAACCTCTGGATTGGTTTGAAAATATGCCAAAATATCTTGTGGTGTAATATTTGGACAAAGTCCGGTAACCAAAACTAGACCAGGTTGCGACTGCAACGGGTAAATACATGGTGACGCCGGTGGACTAAGACATGGCCAGTACAACGGTGTAAATGGTGGTACTATTGCTGGTACCAAACTTTGAACAGTTTCTGAAATAATGCATTAAGTTTTTAATTATAATGCTATTGAAAGTAGCATTACTTTAATGGTACTCCAGATAATTCTAAAACAACTTTAAGGAAATTTGAATACTATAAAGAATTAACTTTGTTCTCTTCCATATGGACGACTCAGATTAGCTCTACATGAATAATATCAAAACTAGTCTTATCTGAATCCAAATTCCATTCTTATATCATAACAGGCCTAAATATTTCGTATAAGTTAAAGTGTCAAAAGTACTACTAGTAGTGCATATTGTAAGTTTTAGTTCAAGTTCAAGTCCAAATGACTTGCGTTGTGGGAAGAGCGGTCTTGGCTGCAGAATGAATTGCGGTGGTAATGGTGGGTTTGTCAGAACCAAATTTATATCTTCCGGACTGCACTGGAACACTTCAATGTAGCGCTGTTTCTTCCCTATTTGCATATACTTGTTATGAGCTAATGCAGCAGCGGTTGCTGCACTCATCTCCGAATCCATCTGTATGAAAGCCTCTCCGCTTGGATGACCTTGTGCATTGTACACCATGTGCACTCCATGAAACATTATCATCATAATATTTATTTATCATCAATGTCATCCTATTATTATTATCACTCTCATTATCACTGCTTGCTACTATGACCAGTTAAAAAGTAAAACTGTTTCTTCCATCAAAATTCTTGTTTAGCGCTCGGATACTTGAACAAGATATGAAATGTTTCTTTATGAGATATTTTTATTCAGTGGCGGAAAAATGGAACATAATAAAGAAAACAAAATCAGATATAGAAAGAATAAATCAAAATTGATGAGGGAAAAGTGCTAATTAATATTATCACAGTAATATTTGTTCAAGAATCCGATGATTAACTTTTCTTCCTGGGCATGAGTTTGGAATATCTGGTAGACAGAATAGAGTTTTTGCAAACAGATGTAGAAGCAAGACAGATAATAAAATGTGGAAGGATATGAAGATAAAAGAGGGAAAGACAAGACCGCTTATATATGATATTCCTTATACCAGGAAACAATCCACTGATAAAAAAGTAAGCTGAGAAACCTAATATAATTATTATATTATAATAAATCCAACTTCCTTCTTCTTTTACTGCACACATCTATTCTTTCTTTTATTTAACACATCTATTTGAAATTAATGTTCTTGGAGAAAGTTTATATTTCATATTATTCATATTTAAATTTATTTCATGAATGATTCATGAAAGATATACTACCGATAATTAGTGTTTATGTTTGCTATAAAGCAAACCAAATCAGAGGATTATATGTCACCAAATTGTGTCTTCTCTGACACACAATTTTAATTTTAGATTAATAAATTATGATTTTCTAAAATTTCATCACATGTAAGGGTCAAAGATTTCATTCCTCAATGAATCATTTTTATTTTAAAAAAAATGGCTAATAAAGGTAATAAGACTTACCAATTTCAATGTATATTTTTTCATCATTTAAGATACTGTAAGCTAAAATAATTCGTAAAGTATGTTAGCGAATATTAATAATTTTAAGTGTTTACTTAAAATTATCAATATTCAAGATCCATTTAGTGAAAAACTATCAGCTCTATTTGGAAATCTATCATTTCAAACTGCAGAGAAATTAAAATTCTCTAACTTTTATTGGTAACATCAAACTTTACAGCATAAGTCACTTTTAATTTCAACTGGATGACAGAATTAATTGAAATAACTAAGAACCAATTATGAATTACAAGTTCTGTTTACCTGAAACATGATGTGTCGTGCGGTTTCGCCCAGAAATTCGACAATATTTTCTACATGAGCTTCGTAGGGAAGGCCCCTTAATCTGATGCAGTCCTTCCTACTACTTCCATGAACCATCATACGTTGATCACTTTCCAAATTTCGATTAACCACTTGTTGCACTTCTGCTTGAGTTGATCTATAATTGAGCTGATTTTAAATTCATGCAACAAGTTTATATCAGGAAACAATAATGAATTTCATGTAAAACTGACAAAGAAGAACCTTTGAAAAAATAATTGCGGATAACATAACTTCAAAGAAACCTTAGCTGGAAATAATCAAGAAATTGGATAAAATCAGATAAGAGGAGACAGAAATTTTCTTCCAATTTAGCAGAAAATTGTCCGGTCAGATAATTATAATAATAATAAATGTTGACTAACATTATAAAAGAAATCTATTAAATTTGCATATTTTTTAATAAAAGGGTATGAAAGTGGAAACTTTATATATGTCACAATTCTCATGGAACCGTCTATTAGTGTCATTTAACAGATGACATATATTGTGAACTATGGTGTCTGTGAACTGTTATCAGTTGTTGAATCAACTCGATGACATTATATTACCAGGTAGGCCTTACACATCCAATAAATGAAAATATAGTCAAGTCAAGAAATTCAAATTTATGGAAAGCATGTTCAAATAAAAGAAAGATGAAAATATGCTGCTAATAGTGTCCATTGTGAGTTGTTGAACAAAAATCAAGACTACTAAATTTCACTACAATTAATGATAGAATTCTGCGGTAGCATTTCAGTGTAGAATTTTGTTATACAAAATACATTGAAGTTCTTAAAGTTATAGGATCCTAAATCGTGGGACTATAAATATTCTAGAATATTAATCAAGAAATGCTCCTCATCCTCTATAATAAATATATTTTCAATGGTCCTTTTTAATGATTCGGATTTCATTTAAAAACTTGGCATATCATTAATATGTTTTTAACATTTATGAAATGTTAAAACTGCTTCTCAAACGAAAAAAAACTAATAAACAGCTTCTAAGAAACAACAGATTTTCTGATGGTATAGTACCCAACACTAACAATCTTTCACATTTTTGTAAATTGTTGCTCAAATTTATATTATGCGAAAATTAGTATATCATAAAGTTATTTGAGACGAAATAGCGTAAGACGAAAAATTTACATTTTATGATTACAATCTTTACCTCCTGCTATTTATTCCTGAACTTCTAAAACTGTTTAAACAAGGAAAAATAACAGCTGTCATGATTACTATATTGAGCTTACAAGAAAAAATTCACGGAAGATTCATTTATAATTTCAGTAAAGAGAATACTTTTCAGATAAAATATACTGTTGCATAATTCAGATGATGACCCGCGTTTTCATACCTTTTAATCACTCACTCAAATTTCAATTCATATTTTTGAAAAAAAAAAATCAAGTATTGAATAACTTGCCTGAAAAGTTCAATATATCGAGTGCCAATGGTACGTTTATGCTTGGTAAGCGCCTTTTGACCAGCTTCCTCATTATCAAACATTACAAAAGCATCACCGGTTGGCCGACCATCGCTCTTATTCACAAATAATATACCGCCATCTGTTACTTTACAACCATTTTCACCTTCCGCGAAAAATTCAAGCTAAAAGATCAGATAATAGTGACCATCAAACTTGCAAAACTTGAACAACCTAAATTTTCACTTCCAATTTTGATTGCAAGTTCTTCGCTTAGGAATTATTAGATTAAAAGAACGAATAGACACAGTATTAAGACCGCAGAGTCGTAACCAGTTTTACCAATATCAACCTCATTCATGCAAGATTCTGAAATGTAGCCAGAATACAGGGGTATTTTAATTTGTCTTGTAGAAGTAATTATTCAGACTTTAAATATGCTATCAGGCTTACTATTAAATTTAAATGAAAAGAGATTTTCAATCCTCAAAATGGATTTTAAAAACTGCGGATGGAAGACTAACAATTTGCGCTTCGGTGCAGTCATAAGGAAGACCCCGCATACGAACAATCATGGCACCTGTGCTACCGCGGCTTACAAAACGCACTGCTTCTGAGTTTGAGCCTGCAATGTATATGGTAACAGCAGTGCAAATGATGGTAGTAGTGATGAAGCGAAAAGCGAGATCAGGTGGGGTAGGATAGGGGAGAAGCCAGTCGGGAAATTCAATGAAATTGTGAATTTATGCGAAAGGGGTGGGAATAGGGGCGAGCATTGACGCTGGCGGGTTAGGCAGGGACAGATGTGAGAATGGATACCTACCTACCTATCTACCTGCAGGGAAATGCGGGCTCGATCGGAGAAAGGTACCAGAAAGGAATGGTGAATACAATAGGAATCAAAAACCAGGTCATAACATTAGCACCACCAGCACTTCTGAATTGCTTGATTTTAATGCATCTATTCCAGTAAGTAACCCTTCCACACTTATTTCTCTTTGGTTAGCTATATCATTTTCAAATAATATTATATAGGAAGAGTGTCGAGCTTATTCAGGTGTCCAACTGCCATAACAGCTGGACGGATGGGAAAATGATATTTTTCATAAATGCATGCTGCATGAAGTTTGAATAGCTGTTATGACGATCGTTCTGATTTCTGCCTGCCTACTTACTCCTTCCTTCTGTTAATACAACACCTTCAAAAGGGATTTTATAATTCATTCATTGCATCTCCAGCAATTCACAACAAATTAGCAGACGAAATTCCCTTCTCCTGTACATCCAGACTGCATGTTACCGAAAGTGTAATCTTGTATACTGGCTGTTGATTTATGGCTCTTACCCTCAGGCTCATCCTTAAATTGGCCGAATTTTATTGCATTATTCCATGTGCTAATCGCTAATATTATTTGTTAATATCTATTACTTACTAGTAATACATTTACTCATTTTAAATAACAAACTGTGATAACGTAAAGAAAATGAAATGAGTGACCACTGAAGTAATAGTAGTACTTCAAAGTTAGTCTTTTGTCTTAACTATCCTTACATGGTCATCATTTTAGTTTTATGTGCGCTAATTTTACAATCTGGGAAACGCAGATAAGTAAATGTTGATTTAAAATTACGTGAATACGAGATACTACAAGATTCAAAGATTGTTTCTGCGACTTGACCTCTTCTGAGGAGAAATCTTCAGAAATGAAACAATGTGCTACATTCCCAAACACTAAAATAAAAAGTCTCCTTCATCGGTACTAGCTCTTCTGTTTATGACTGCCGTATACAACATCGACAATTTTTGAAAAGCAAACACAACAAGGAAACACACACACACACACACAAACACAAACACACCCATCTGCCGAGCTTAAACACATGCAAACAATACATCGACACATAACTGTTTGAATAAATAATGGGAGACTTAAAGAACATCACAAACAGCAATGCGGCACTAAAGAGAATACATTTATTACTTCTACCCTTCATAACACCCATTTCAAAAAAATAAAATTCCTTTTAAACGTTTCAAAATGTTCCTAAAATTTTAGAGTCTGAATAAGCTATTTCAAAGTTTTATATAGAATATTTCTTGGCCCAGTTCCAGCAGTACGAAGATCAGTAGTCAATAAACATATAATGATCTTTACAGGAATAAAAAGATTGTAATCACCGGTGTAATCAGCTTTAATTTAACCTTATCTAGAAGAACCTGGCATCACCGCAAGAATTACTAACCTGCAGCAACTTGTAGGAAATCGCTTCCTGTAGCGCGATACACTTCAATGTAACGGTTGTGTAGGAAATGTCGATGCCTTTTGAGGGCTAATTCACGTTGCTCGGAATCTTCAAATCTTACAAGAGCCTCACCATTGCGTCGACCTTCCGGACTGAGGCAAAGTGCTACTCCGCCACTGCAAAATCAACATGAATTGATGAAATCCTTTCATTTCCTCCCCTTACAAATACTTGAAATTCTGAGATTGCAAGGCTTTAACAATATATAGCAGATCAATGGTCAATCAGTGATTAATAAACATGTTATGGTCTTTACGGAAAGAAAAAAAGGCTTTATTACATCGTAATTTAATCTTAATTAAAAGAATCTAGCTTTTTTATAACTATTACTACCTTTTTTTTTCTTTTTAGTTAGAAGAAAAAAAAAAGCTTTTTTTAAAAAAAGTAAATTATTATTATTATTTTATTATTACTATTATTATTGTATTGTTATTGACTATTAATTATTGTTATTGTTATTACTCATTATTATTATTATTATTATTATTATTATTATTATTATTATTATTAGTTTGTTAACTATTACTATTATTACTGCCACTATTAACTATATTAGTTGTCATTATCTTCATTATTAATCTTATTATTATTTCTGTCACTAATATTTCAGAATTTTTTTGACAAAAAACAGACATGGGCTGCCTAGAGTGATGCGACAATAACAAGGTTCAAACGAATAGATCCGTGGATTGCTTCTAGGGAACAATTAATAATATACCTGTATAACAAGAACCGAACCCCTTGTGCTTCTGATGTGTTAAGCCTAGTGTCTATGCATTTATGGCTCGTATATATGAGTGAGATGGGTAAAAGGAAAGATGAATCTCGTGGATGTTATCAATGGTGTCATCTACCATTGAACGACACAACCACCTGATCTGACTGTCAAGGAAAATTGAAAGACCAAAACAATAAAATAATTTAATAAACTGAAAGTGATGAAATGAGCATTCTCTTAAATATTTGTTTTAATGCTAATCTAGACGTCTGGTTATGCAAAAAGTTGGACAAAAACGCAAACGATTAAGCTTCAAACATGATTCAATTTTAAAGAACTGAAATGAAAACTATCGAGTCACTCCCTCACATTGTAACCATCATTTTCCCTTCTTTATCTCATCCTTTTTTTTTTTTTTTTTCAAGTGAACTTAGTTAGAAATAAAACTATTACACAATTACTTCATTAACTATTTTTCATCTCACTTTCTCTATCACATTTTAAACTTTTGCTGATAAAACTTGATTAATTAATGTAATAAGGATGTTGAATTAGATTCTAAGAAGTTAGACTCATTCCTTTTAAAATCAAGCATATTAAAACTGCAAATGCTTAGATAGAAGTATACGCTGTGTCGAATTTGTTCAGACTAACCTTATCTTGCTTTTTATATATGCATATGAAACGCATATCATTTAAAACAAAAATCTAACTTAAAGATATGAATAATGTCCTCAAAAGAAAGACAAACATATCATTACAGAAGTTAGCATTGTACATAAACACAGGAAAAAGTGATTATTTTTATAACGATTAAAATGTTTCAATTTAATTGTAGAAAATCAACAAAATCTGCTCCTAATAATCAGTAACTATTTACCAAAGAGAGCTGATAAAGTGAGGATGAAATAGCTACGTACGTAAATTACTTTAAAAGAAACACGCAAGAACTCAAACTTCACTTTCGTCAAAAAAATACATCTACCTTATGTGTCATATAACTGAAAATTTTGTGCTCAATGTTTATTGTCGCTTCGTTCATCTGCTCTAATATTTTTTGTTGGAATATTTTGTTTTCTTGACCAGCTGATAAGAAATTCAATATCCTTTTCATTAGAGCAAAGCTTGACCCATCGAATAAGTTTTTTTTTTTTTTGAGAATCTAAGACTTTTCTAGTTTAAACAAAAATTAGAAAATAAATGAAATGAATTTTTTTCACCATAATTATCGATTAGTATCCGATGATAAATGAAAAAAAAAATACCATTTTTTTTCCGTTGCTCTATGCAAGATCTATTTACACTAGCGGACAAACCTCTCTGTTAGCCAAATGAAATAAGTTGCTCGATATTATCACTATTATTATCATTATCTCTCAATTAATCACTTACAGCTGATATAGCTCAAAAAAAAAAAAAAAATGAGCTATTTAGCTAAGAAATATAGGAGGCAATCTTCACACTTCAGCTTCTGTGACTACTGTAACCATGTCAATGTATAAAAACATCCGGGAAATAATACATGTATAACTTGGTACCAAATATCTTATCAATAAAATAAATAAATTTTATTGATAAGCAATTTCTTATCTTAAAAGTGCAACTATTCAAAATAATTAACATTAGCGTTAATGCATCGTTAATAATAAGGAGAAGATGCCATATAAGGCTGTAAGGCTCATTAGCTTATTTGGCATCATTTTATTTGATCTGATCTTAGCAATGTGTGCTTTTTTAGTTGCTAATAATAGTTGACAGTTACATCAAACTTTTCGATGTTACTAATATGTCAATGAATTTTTTTCATTTTGTTGCAATAAAGAAATTTTGTACATACTATTTCGAAACATTCTCATTTGGAAAAACTGTTCTATTAAGAAAGTCAGTTTACATAAATACAAAAAAAGGAATTGTTACAAATTCTTTTGTTTTTTTAAGTCAATAAAATATTTCCTTATTCTTGAAATAGCACTGCTGAGTTTACAAATCTTCATAAAAATAAAATTTCGAAAAAATAATACTTTCTGAGATGATTCTTGTTTTAAAATAATTTCAATAAATCACACATTTCAGTTATATATTTTATGTCATATATTATATATTTTGGTTAGCGATTAAATTGGTTAGCGCTTAGTAAGCATTGTTTCTTTAAAGCTTAGCCTAAAGAAAAAAGGGTATAAAGATGTCTAGAATTTAATATTTTTTACAAATTTGTTAGCTGTAATCTTCAAGCCTAGTTAGTGCGCTCCTTAATTTAAGGTTCCAGATTCTGTCATTCTTTTCACCTACTACACCTACTATTTGTAAAGTAATTAAATTACTTATGTTATCAAAAAATCAAATTTAAAAGAATTGTTTAATAGTGATACGATATCAAAAGGTTTTGGTTAGAATTTAATTTTTTTTTTCATAACTTCAGTTTCTGATTTACATTCCCTTTATAAGTTCGTTTATATTTCTTCATTAAACTATTCAATATTCTATCTTTAAAGTAAAGAATCTCTTTTAGTTTTAAACAACATTAAGAAATTGATTTTGAGAATTATTGATAATTAGTTTGAATTTCTGCTGTTTGACAAGATTTTCAAATGCAACTGTACTAAAAAAAAATGCTCACGCGGCAATATTCAAACCGATGAAAAATTGTGCTATATCATGATCGGTTGCTTGCCAGGGAAGACCTCGAGTACGAACGATCACTTCTGAGACCAGCGATGTTTCCGGTAAACTGAAGTAGGACAAGTCTATATTAGCAAACTTCAAATGTGTAATCTTTTGCAGACTAATTCTAATTCTGAATTTAACACTTTGTAGCTGTTGATATCTAGACGATAGTTGTTGATATCTAAAAACAATGACATTTACAAAAACTTTTGATTTTCTGAATAAATCTGAATAAAAACTTCAAAATTAGAGTTGTGAAACGCAATTATGCTGATTAATTTAGAAGAAAATGAAAATTGAAGCGATGCACTTTCAAAACTTAAATTTAGTTTCCTTTTCCAATGATTTATCTTTTTGACTAAAGCTATAGATTGAAAATATTTTGATATTTCAATAGACGGCAGGACAAAATCGAATTTTAAAAACAATTACAAATGTTTGCACTTGTTGGTATTTATTGCCACAATGCATTTAAAAACAGTAAGCTGCCAATTATTCAATTTTCATTTTAAATACGATGGCCAAAAAGCATTGGACACAGAAAAAGCTTTCACCCACTTATTTTTTAGGGGTAAAATAATTTGAGCCAGCATATGTTTCTGTAAAAATGTGAGAAGTCAAAGTTCGTGAAGACAAGAATAAAAGTTCGAGAATGATTCGAGTTCCTACTGAAAGGTTAAATCGATAGAAATATTGTAATAGAATTACAGCGAAAATCAGCGAATACATTTTTAAGTGTTTGTAAAATTTGAAACACTCAGTGGTTAGCATTAGTAAATGAATGAGTGCAATAGCTACAAAAATATTAATCAAAATAAGCATGCTATAAAATGAGAGAATTGAAACATTTCGTAGTAAACGAACCATATGCCATTGCGTAGTTCGGTTTTTACGTCCTCTACAGATCCCATTAAATTATCGGTTCCTGTAAGAATTGTTTTAAAGAAATTGATAAAGTGCTTTCAAATTCAAGCTTATCGAGACTTCCTTTTCTAATATTTACATTCATTTTTTTTGTTAGCCATAGAATGAGTAACAAAAAATCTTTAAAATTGGATTAATTTCAAAATATTCATTCGTCCTGTTTGCCATAATAAAAGTACATAAATCTCATAAAACTTTAATTTGATATAAGTTCTATAATTCGCAATATTTTTAGTTGTTCTTATTGATATCTAGATAATCATAAATCATTTTAAGAAGCGTTGCCGAAATCTTGGGATATGGATATTTCTCGCAGACCTCTTAAACATAAACTTTCTTTCACTCCATTCTCTCCGCACATTGCATTGAATCTATTCCAACGAGAAAATGAAACATTCTTTGATTAGAATGATAACAACGAAATTAAATTTTCCTCTTCTTTGTTCCTTTTTTTATTGCTTCGTGGTGAGCTCGTGCAACGCGCTTTGTTAACAGTGGAATGGTATCAGCTTAATGTTATCAACTGTTTAACAGTACACTGATCACACCATCAAAACAGTTACACTGCTTTGAGGATACTTTTTACGACAATCTGCTTTATTTTGATTCATAAATGTCGTGCAGATTGTGCAGAAAATGTTCTTAACTAATTGAAATTGCTTAATATATTCTGAAAATTTGATAAGTTGAATCAGATTATCACTGCAACTGAGTTTTTTAGAAAATTTTGCCATAATTCGCATTTCAAAATCTCCCCTTTAAATTCGAAAATTTTCTTCTTCGAAGTTTTTGAAAAAAACTTCTGATCAGAAATTTCTCTGATTTTTAATGTGTCTATAATTTATGTGTTAGTATTAGATTTAGTTTAAATTCTTGAACAAATGAACATTGAAGAAGTATTGGGATGCTAGATGAGTGAAGTAAAAATAAAAGATGTAAGGTTTAATTTATTCTTTAAAAGAACATAAGACTGCTCTTTTGAGAGAATAATACAAGAAAAGGCAACGATAATAAGAAGAGAGCTGTTGCTTGATCTTAAGGTAATACTATATTGACAAAATTGAGCACTTATATTGTTCTCAGCGGTAAACAGGTAGCGTGCGCAAGTGGTCTATAGTATTAACAGGAATGAAACAACTATTTACGATTCTTTGATTCCATAAACATGTTGTAGGCAGGTGATATAAGCAATAGCGGGACGAACTACTGCGAGGAGAGTGTATATGTGCGGTACCGGTACCGAGGTATCGGGGACATTTACGGTATCGAGGGTACATTGCTATTGGAGAATAGAATTGTTTTAACAGCAATCACTTTGAAGAACTCTAAGAAACAATTCGATTTTTTCGGTCCTGTTTGTTAAAATGTTTTAAAATAAAAGTGAATAAACATTAATTTGCAGCATACTGTACTGCTTTCTGCTTTAGCAAACTTCTTGACAACTGTTATCCTTTGGAAACATCATTGGCTTCGCAAAACTATGATAAGAGCGTGAATGAAACTATTTAGTTATTCTAAAAGTGGGTGACCTTCTTCAATTCGTAATGCGGAATAAATCTGAAGAAAATTCAAACTTCCCTCTCCTCATAATTCCTTATAGTAGTGTCACTTTAAATTCGTATTCCATCATATAAACTGTAAATAAATGAATTCAAGCCACTAAATTTTTCTAGTTTTTTTGTCTTTGAAATTGATCAAATATCATTAATTACTTCCAAAATTTTCGTTTTTTCTTTAAAATGATTTCTGTTTTTACTCATTTGAAGCAATTGCTTTACTTATTTTTGATGAAAGTAATTAAATTTTGTTTGATGGGTGCCTTCCGTGATATTCCCGTGATATTCTATCAAATCGAGTCGACTTCGCTGCAAGGATATGTGAGAAAAACTGATTTCTTAATCTAAGCTCGTTTTTAATGTAAGGACGATGACCAATCTCACTTGATGATAATAGTGACCATCTGAGTCAAAGTTTAGCTTCAGATTTCAAACTTCGCCCCAATTCTCGGGAGGAGGAAGTAGAACATTTGTTCTAAATTAAAAATTTTGTTTTTGTTTTACGCAGTTTTAGTTGACAATATTATTTACAAAACGAAGTTCAAGACAAGTGAATATTGTTGGAATTTTGATTGGAAGCTTAGATAAAATATTGCAAATCCAGAACTCTTTTAATTAAAGTGAAAAAATTTTAGAAAACCCATGAAAAACTGAATGCTAAAACTACTGAATTAAAATAGTTCAAAGTAAAATATAATCCTTTTATACTACAGTTTTTACTCTATGAAAGCATATACACATTCAAATTAGCATGAGGAATCAGCTTCAACAATTTCTTAGAAAAGAAATTGTTAAAGCTAATTAAAGAAATACCGGTCGTTTTTTTAAACTTTTAAAAAATAAACTTTTAGAAACCAAAAGATTAAATCTTAGAACACTTTTGCTGTTGCGCTAAGCTAGAATTTAAAATCATAGAAACATGTAATCTTTTGTAATGCACTAAACCGAAAAAATTGCTTCAATTAGGTTAAAACTAAAGAACAACAAAGAAAAGTTGACACAACTTGATGAAAGGTTATCGATAAAAAACAAGCTTAACTAAAAAATCTTCACTTACCTTCACACAAATAATGAATTCCGTTACATATCAGGCCCAATTCATCCTCTAATGAACACTGCCCGTCAACTGGTAAAGCTTCGAATCTCGAGATATCGATAAACTTGTGGAAAAGCGGAGAAAGTGTGAAAGATAACCGTAATGCAAGGGGATGTAATACCTGTCTAATAGCACTAATACCATTTGTTACTAACACTGAACCATCTGGTACCGTATTTTCAACCTGTAATCATATTTAATTTACGACAACACAAAAAGTAGAGTTTTACTAGCTGATATAATTCATTAATAGCATGATATGTATGATATAATTTAATACGATCACTAATTTAACAGTAAACATTCACTCTGAACAATCAGAACTGTTAAAATGTTATTATCCTTAGGAGGTATTACAAGGAAAGAGAGTTCCCAGTAAGTAATGTGTTTCAGTAACGTATTTAAAACTCATTACGTAAACACTTCGATATAAAAATTTCTATTGCTTCCAAATAAATCCATCGTTAGAAGTTTTAAATATTTGCACGAGAACCTAACTACAATGATAAATATTTCCAATTTTAGTTTTAAATTATTTTGGTGAGGACAAGAAATATTTCTACCGATTGTTTCAAGTTTATAAGTTACTTGATGTACAATGTATTTAGTGCAAATTAGGAATTACTTTGATAACATACAAAAGTTTCGGGACAAGAAAAAAACATGAACAAAGCAATAAGCGATCCTCGTTTAAATCATGTCTGTTAAAATTAAAAAACATATGTGATAGAAGCCGTGTATGATGTAATATAATGCCTATAATGATAATAATGATGGAACATAATTGTACTATCAAAACGCTATTGAGAAACTTAAAGAACAGGAAAATTTCAAATTTGTTTTACTTCGCTAATAAGTACCATTAAGCCATTCATCAGACTATTCTTAGTAGATAACTAGAGAAGTAATGCGAAAACGTAACACGTTACGTGTTATTTATCAATCTATAGAAGATAGAGATGAACTGTCTCTGATCAAAATGTATTTTAAAAAGTTCACCTTCTGGAGAGCAGCCTCTAGTCCTAAAGAAGTGACATCCAATTCTTCGATAGTAGTGATTTTGTTGTGGGTATTAGTGTATCGCTGATTAATAATAGTAAAGGCAATGGTTTGTACAGGTGCCGAATCAGACCCTTGTTCCTTAGTGGCATTGCAGCCGGATGTCCTCAGAGCAAACGGAATCAGAGAAGTCGGTGTTACTGCCGAACTTGCTTGTGGACAGGGTGCCATATAATTGGCTTTCTAAGTCGGTGTCTTCTCAATACGGACACGGCGGGTATAATAAAAGAACCAGGCGGAGGTAGGAAGGAACAGGGATGGCTCCGGCAAAGTTACCAAAATTTCCTACTGTTAGTACTGAGGTGATTGATACGTAAAAAGATAAAAGTACTGCCCCTGGGGTATGGGATATGGAAAGGGGAAAGTGTTGCGGGGTTGAATGGACAGATGGGTCGGGATGGCGAAGTGAAGAGGAGTGAGCATCGGAAATATGTCAATGTGGTTGGGAGAGCCAGGTGTGGAGAAAGAATTCGAGCAATTGCCGCGTAAAGAGGGCCGGCAGGGACAGCCGCGAGAACGGTTGCAGACGAATCGACGAATCTTTTCGAAATACTTTTTCAAAATGTATGTTTCGTGCGTCCGAAGATGAAACTTTTAGACAAACAAGACTAGTTGACAAGTTTAACATGGAGAGAGATAGAGAGAGAGAAAGAAAGAGAAGAATATGGAAGGTTAAATAGTGGCAGTTTACATATGCGTGTCTGAAAAGAGACCGTGCAAAGGAAGGTTGAGCGATGATATGACGATCGTGTAAAGTGGTGACATTGAGAAGAGAGGACAGCAAGAAATGAAGAGAGGGTTTTACGATTCTCGATATCACATTTCGGATGTTTTCCACAACATTAACACGTCGTGACGCAGTGTCCTTGAACGTATATGCGGACCACTTCTCGTCATTGGCCTCTCTGTCCAGCTTCGCTGTCATTTAGTTACTGTTGCTACTGCGGTTGTTATTTCTGCAGCTATAGATTATCACAATAAAAATATTAGTAGTAAGTTAATGACTACTCAAAAACTATCAATTCCCCTTTTTCTCGTATCTAAATTCACTTTTGTACTGATAACAAACTGATAGCTTTAGTGCTATGCGTTGTCACTGAGTTCACGGTCGAATCTACCACTACACTATAATTATATATAACCGTCAGAGGTTGCAAGAACTTAACTATCAGTATTGCAGAATTTTTCTAACCTTTAAGAACGATCTTTTGTTTAGCATTTTTTTTCAATGGAAGGAAATGTTAGAAAGATAAGGGATAAAAAGAGAAAAAGAATT